GAGAGAGAATCAGAGGAAGATGATCGAATCTCCGGGAGTACTCTCCGTCGTGATTGGTAATGAATCGGAGAAACAGAAGCAGAGGAAGCGAATCCAATCTCCAAGAGTATTCTCCGGCGTGATTGGTAATGAATCGGAGAAAGAGAAGCGGAGGAAGCGAATCGAATCTCTAAGAGTAGTATCCGACGTGATTGGTAATGAATCGGAGAAAGAGAAGCAGAGGAGTAGAATCGAACCGTCCAGAGTAATCACCGTCGTGATTGGTAAGCTTAAAAACAGAGTTTTCTTGTTTGAAGCCCTAAAGATTACAGGGCGAGGAGAGCCCTAAAGATTACAGGGGAGCATATCACTAACCAGAAACTCTAAACATAGAACTAAATTTAAGCTAAAAGAAAGAGGACCGAGACTGAAGAAAACGGGGCAAATGACTCTAAAACATAACCTCTAAACCAAAACAATCGAGAACGAACTTCCAAAGACCAGGTTGAAGCGGTAGCTGAGGCCAATATTCATAGCCAACGAAAGCCAAAAGGTTGGCAAACCTGCGTTCGAATCAAACAAACCTTACTGACAACAACACCGACGGGGAAGCTCGCGTGATCGAGTTAGCACAGAGGAAAGAAACCAATCCAGCACCAACTCTTCAAGGCAACAAAGAACTCGAGAAGACCTAGGCTCAAGGCAAAACACCTCAAATTCCTACAAACAAGCTAACAAGATCCTAGGGAGAGAAGACTAAATCAGAAGGGAAAACCGGATGGGGAGCTCAAACCAACAACAGCAACAAGGAAATCAGATCTGCAATATGACAAACCACCTAAATCCAAGATCCGAAGCTTTATGGGAACCACCAAAGAACCCGGCGAATCTCAACAGCATCGACAGATACTCCGAAGACCGGTGAAGCTCCAAATCCGTGTTGGAGCAAATCAGTCCGAGAATAAAGGAGATGGAGTTTGAAGAAGTCGTGTCTTAGTGATGTTGGTGTTGAGTCAATAAAATGACCGAGTCTTAAGTTAGTGTTTTAGTGGTTTGATTGAGTCTTGTAGAAGTTATTAGTTGCTCTGTTTTTGTGGAATAATTTTAGGAGTCCGTTTATGCTGTAAGGCTATATAAGCCATGTTCTGTTTTTGGAATTAATTAAGAGAGAAGTTTTCAGAGTTCAATATCTCAAAGCTTTGTTTACGATTACA